TTTACTACGCCATTAATTGGACCTCTTATTAGCTTGACCATTCCTTGCGTTTTTTAAGAAAATAGAGTCTGTCATGCAAATTTACAATTTGTGGAAACCATACTTTAGTTCAAATTAATAGAAAAGGGGATGTGGCTTACGTGCACACCTCCTATATGATTCTACAACAAGCAAAGGCAAGGGGGAACTAGCAGGGATTACAACCTCTTAAGTTTTTTAATTATTTGTAGCATTAATTGTATAGATGTTACATCTTTCCATCCTCCCAGAATTTATAAAAGCTTTGTAGTATATATATTTTTTAATCTCAACTCCTTTATTTTTTATCTGTTCGTGGCAACAAGTTCTTTTGGCAACGATTATTCTACATTTCTATACCCCGAGCATGCTCTTTATATACACACACTTCCACACACATATCATAATATTATCTTTTGTTGTGTTATTAGAATTATAGAATGGTGGTTTTGGAATGGACGAGGCGATTTGCTTTGAATGCGCATGACGCATGATGCTAGCAGCAGTGAATGACCGGCATGCTCATTGAATCCTGCAGAAATTTCAATTATTACAATTCGAGTTGTTATTGTGATAAAATAATCACAATTCTTACATATAATATATCTTGTTCTGTGGCAAAAAAATAATAATCAAAATTTCCATCCACATATAATAAATTAAATTCTAGCGGTTCGTGATTTATAATATTATATGAAAGGAAAGTTTAAGAATCCAATAATATTTAAATATGTATTATTGATGAAGTCGTAATGTGTCCTGAAGAGTTTTTTAAGAAGTTAAGGGGCAAAGAATAGGGAACAAAAGGTTTCCAAGACTGCAAGGAATAGGACAAGGAAATCTTTGGCTCGAGTAAAATACATAGATGATGAAGAAGGATATTTGTTTTTGATAGGTGGAGACGATAAAAATATATGGAATGGTAGCTTTTACAAGCTTTTCAATAATAATCGACTAGCAACTTGAAGAAATCGATAACTCAAGAAGATGCGTTAGCAATCATATGCAATCGATGTGAAAAAACACTTCAATCTTTCACCTTTGATTCTAAAGTCTAACATTGTTATTGAAGATCTTTATGAATTGTTTCCTTTTGTTCATCACAAATTATCCGTTGTGTTTGAACAATACAATTATCACACATGTTAGAGATGTGAGATCTCAAATGTGATAAGAGAGTTTTTGAATTCTCTTACCTCAATTCACTTGAATGTAAATATTCAAAAATAATGATATAAAAGATGATTTGATCATTGCTAAAATTAAAGTACAAAGTTATACTAATTACAGCTATAACATTGAAATGACAAACTCTAAACCTAAGTAAAGAATATATAAAGTAAATTTGAGTCAAAAACTTATCAATGAGTTTGTTATGCATGTGGATTATGTGTGTGTTGATTCTATTAGTTGGACCCCTTCTTTTACTTGTGTGCTTGAGACTATTGTGCCCAAAGGATTAGGAGGCCACATGCGAGATATCTACTATCACCAGGCATGGTCTGGCAAGATTTGTAACATGTCAAATAGTGATCCCACATCCTTTTAATGGCCTTTCATGCTCAATCACTCCAAGTCACCTCTTGCTTGAGCACATGCTTCGCACAGACCCTTGTCTAAAAGTGAAGCGAGCTATGTTTTTAATTGATTATTAGACCTGAAGTTTCTTCTTATTCTTCTTTCTTATATTATTTTGGACTTTTGTCAATTGATGTTTTATTTTAGGTCCAAACACTTTCTTTATCGTTAACTCTTTTGATAAACCTAATTTTCATTTCTCAACTAGATCCTTTGTCTCGAATTTGGTTGGATGTTAAATTCTTTTTATTTTCTTTCTTTTTCATATTATGTTATTTTTTAATTTATATTTCATTTACATAAAAATAGAAAAGATGTGAACAAAATTTGGTGATTTCCAACACAAAATTTGTGTTGGTGAGGTTAATAAATCTTTTAAGAAAATAAAAAATGACAAAGTCACTGGAGCTAACAAAATCCTTATTGAAGCATGAAATTGTTTAAGTAAAATGGCTAACTAAGCTATTTAGTGATATTTCCTACATGATCCAAGAAAATGCCTAGTAAATGGATATATATTTTAGCTTCTATTTATAGGAGTAAAGAGAATATTCATAATTATACATGCTATATAAAAATATGAGCCATGTAAAGATATTGTGGAAAAGAATGACTAAACATAAATTGAGGGTGAATACTTGTATTTCTAATAACTAATTTATATTTATGCCAAGAAAGGCTGCAACAAAAGCAATCTTTCTACCAAGGGATTAATAGAAAAGTACTAGAGCAAATTAAAAGACTTAATATAATTTTCATGGATTTAGGAAAAAGAAACTCATGATCATATATTGAAAGAAGTGATTTGGAAAATCTTAAAAAAGAAAGATATTCATGTTGTGTACATATAAATGGACAACTACTAGAGTACGATTGTATGGAGGCGATGCAAAAGAATTTTCTATAAGAATTGCCTTATATGTTAACCATCCTTAAATCCTTATTTGATTTAATTTTGGATGTTTTAAATTAGTGCATTCAAAAATAAATTATGAAGTGCATGTTTTTTTTATGATATTTAAAAGTTTAGTTATTAATAACACACAATGAGAATGTACGATCTGTAGAGTTAAATCTACATAATAGGATGAGGTTATTTGTGATAATAAAATGTTTAAATATTTCAAAATTAAAGAAGCAATTACTAAGATAATGGTAATGGATGCGGATGATAGATCTAAAGTGGGGAAAACGGTGGAGAAAGAGGGGGGTTGTTTTAGGAGATTGGGGAGTGGGGCCCGCATTATCCAGCAGAGAGGAATCCGTGTTTGACGGAAAACGGTGGATAAGGCATGGTTTCCTCTGCCAGGGTGTCGCTTCTTTCTTTTCCTCTTCATCATTATCCTCTCCTCCAATGCGCACACACCTTCCCTATTTATTTTTATTAATTATTTTCCCAGACCCCTTCATCGGTGATGGACTGGAAGGAATGAATGTTCCCCTCTTTGAGTAAGACCTTGACCGTTGACCTTGAACCACAAGTCCACAACCATATGCCATATCCTATTTCCCCTTCCACTCTCATTGTACAACCCGCCATTATTTTCCATCATATGAGGCTCCAGCTTTCTTCCACCAGGAAATCGTGTGGCTCAGCCCACACGATGCGACGCTACTGTGACCCACATGTTTTAGGCCCGTTGCATTCACAACCAGCAATAATATCCCTTAACTGCTCAAGCCTGCCAATATCTAGCTGCAACACTTGGGACTTGTGACTCAGGAGATCGGAATTTACGAACTTCTCTTTCTCTTTCTCTTTCTGTTTTTTTTTTTTGTTTTGCCGGAATTCAGTAATAATGTTATCCCTTCTATTAAAAAATATTATTGGTTTTTCAAAAAATAATAACAAATATCTCTAATCCTATTTATGAGTCAGTTTCAGTGTGTTTTATCAAAAATAAAAAAATCTTTAAATTTTATTGATTCTGTCTTAAAGATTACTAAATTTTTACCAATATCCCTAATAAAGAGAAGGATAATTATTTTTAATAATTTTTCTTAACATGAGTAAACAGTTAAAGATAAATATAAAAAATAATGAACTTTCCTATAAATAAAATTAAAGATAATATTTTCTTTGTCACATGAAAAGTATGATGCCAACATCTTTATTACTTCAAACTTTTGTACCATTTTTTTATTTTTATACAAACATTTTTCATTTTTAGCTTTTTATGGGGGATGATGAATACATTTTTACATGGGAGAATCACATTTAGGGCTTTTATGGAAAAAAAATTATATTTAAAATTCAATACAATTTGAAATGTCTCTATGATCTCAAGGCCTTAGATGGAAATATGTTTTAATGAAAAAAGATCCACTTGCCCCCTTTCAAGATCAATTAATCTTCGACCATTTAATCGTTTCTTCCTCCTCTCCTCTTCCTCTTCCTCTTCGCTTTCCTTTTCCTCCTTACAGCATCGCATTGAATAACTTTCTTGTTCCTTAATTTTTTTCATTCCTTCCCATATCTTCTCAATCTATCTACCCTTCTTGTAATGAACCAACATACAAAAACTAAATTTTGCACATCTTGATCTTGCTGCCTCTATTGTCATCCCTGAATAACTTTTGCATATCATTCCTCTTATATCAATGACCATTGTTTTGAGATAACAATTGGTGAGTTCCTTAGCACCAAACATCTAAAACTCAAGTTCTGCAAGTTTTCTCCTAGATCTATTTGTCATTTTTTAGGGATTGTGAACACTAGGACTTTTTAATAGAAGTCAGAAATAATAAGTTGTGAATATTTTAATTAGAAATTCTAGATTTTAATTGTAAATAATTGAACATCTACTTGTAAATATTTGGATATGTAGTTATAAATTTATGAATTTTGACGGTGCATTAATTCTAAACCTTTATTTGTTAAGATATGGGTTTTTCCTTATAAATGTTTGAATTTATACTTGTGAATATTAGAATTTTTATGTATACGTTTATGAACTTTGCTTAATTGTGTAAGAGTATAAAATGGTTCAAGTGTGATATTTTGCATTGGTTAGTGAAGTATGACAATAATATCAAAAAAGCTTAAAATGTCCTTGCACTCACACTCACAACCAAAGAAAAATGAAAATATAAGATGAAGCATCAAAATGTAATTAATATTCCTTTAGGATTGAGTAATTGCAAGAAGGATGGATAGATTGAGAAGATGGAGGAGGAAATGGAAGAATTGGGAAACTGAAATCTAATGTTGTGAGGAGGAAGAGGAAGAGAGAGAAGGAAGGAGAAAGAGGAAGAGGATAGAGGGTAAAAAGTTCAAATGGCGAAAGATTGATTGGTTTGGGGGGGGGGGGGTGAATGTGCCTATTCTTGTTAAACTCTCAGGCTTGTAGAGACATTTTATATTATATTGGATCTTCAGTATAATTTGCTTTCTTCTAAGGGTCCCAGGTGCGATTCCTCCATTTTACACAAAAAAGATGCCATGCTACATCCGCAACAGCGAAGAAATGAATTAGAAAGGGGAGCTCAAATGAAGGCCTTCAACGGACATCGGAAGCAATTGTTGTTTTTTAATTTCTCACAATCCAAAAACCAAAGCCTAAATCCATTACTTAGCATTACAACGATCCGGTTTCACGTACTCCTGCGAGATTCCGTACAAAACATAAACATTAACTTGCAGCGTCTCATTCTAATAAATAAACCCTGCTCTGCCAAAGACTCGGCATTTCCGCCAAGCTTCTCCCTCCACCCTGCAACTCTGAGAATTGTGATCGGAGGTGGTCGTATCGCCACCATGCCAGGTCCTGGTCCTCACATGATGTACGCGATGGGCTCGGGCCTGGCTCTCACGGCGGTCACCCACGGCAGATTCAGCCCCCACCACTCTCTCACTTACGCCCTCAACGCCTTCTTCGGTCCTGATATTGGTTCCTTCTCCGAATGGCTCGCTTCCTTTGTAGATGATTCTTCTGATTCCTTTGCGTCCCGCCTTCCCGATCTCATCCACCATCCCCTCTATTACATCCTTATCTTGGGACTTCCTCTCTCTTTCCTTTACTCCTGGATTTCCAAGTTTCTTCTTCAGCACCAGCTTCTTGATTCTGTCCCTAGGGCAAGTCACCCCCTGAGTTCACTGATCTTGTTGGTTCTGCATAGTAGTTGATTTTTATGATCTATACTTATTGCTCTGCCTCAAAATTTCGTGACCTACTTTGATAGTCTTGTTTTCAATATCGGAGAGAGAATGATTAGGGACATCAAATGCATGCTATACAGGGAGGAAACTCCTTGTCTGCAAATTCAGTTGTCAAGTCCCCTTGGTTTTCTCATGAAGAAACCTTGCCTATAATTTTTTGTTTGTTTATTTCTTCTTAAATGCTTGAAATGAATGTATCCACTTTATACATGTTTCAGGTACCCCTTACGCGGAAGCAATGCTTCTTGTTGATATCTGCTGGCTCTTTTAGCCACTTCTTCCTGGATCATTTATTTGAGGTACGTATTAGATCAGTATCACTTGTACTATCGCCTCCTTTGATTTATGTTTGTTCTATAAACTCTGATCTTTATCTTCATTGATGTTAAGCGAACCAAATGATTTGGTTTTCATTCACTGATGACGTGAGCAAACTTTGATATTCTTTGTAATCAGTTTTGGTCTTGATTGGGTGTTAGATGTGCAATGGCTATCATTTGAATTGTGCAATCTAGATAGGTCTCCTAAAATTATAATATCCAATCGCTGTCTATTTTCATTGATTGCTGTCAGACGCATGATTGGTGGAGCTCAAGTTTATATCAAGGACTGCCGCCTTTTGACTGTTGAAAATTGTAAATGTGTTACTTGTGATTAAGTTCAATTTTTGTATTTGCCAATAGACTGCTTTGCTTCATGTACTTATATCAAGTTCTTTTATTCTGAAGAGAGGTGCTCTCTGAAATTTGCATGTAATGGAACATAAACAGAAAGCTTCAATGAAGTCATTAGCATCCATTCTTTTTAACTCAGCTAAAGCTTTGATTTGGTTCCTATGAGCTGTACTGTACCAAGCTATTAGGATATCTGATGGAATTCTAAAACTTACACCTAGTCACACTGACTAGCACAGTTTATTCATTGAAAAAAAAAAAAAAAAAACTCCCACTCCAAAGTATACTTTCATTTCAATTCGTTAGCATAACCTTATTATATTTTGCTCAAAAAAAAAAAAAGCATAACCTTATTATATCTTCTCTATTTATACCTCCTATTATTTGCTGTATTTGTCACACCTGGTTAATTAGTAACAAATCCTGAATAAAATTGAAGGAGCCTCCTTCACTGCATCAGCAGCTGAAGATAGTAAACACCAGTCGCTAGAAGCTATCCATATATACCATTTACTAATTACAATTAGTACTTCCAATACGACTTGATATCCCAATAGACTCTGAGAAAGACGTCTATTATTATTCTCACCAGCTGTTGCAAACCACTTTTTTTTCATATTGTCTTACTCAAGTTCTCCATCATCTCTTATCAGGTATTCAATTTGGTTTCTGATATTGACCAAGGTAGTATAGAATGCCTAGATTCTATATTCGGTAGTGTGGATTGTTCAATATCTTACATAAATAAGATAGCTCTCTCACCTTAATAGCTAGCATTTGAAGGAAAGTTTTCTGTCCTGCTTGAGTGTATTTAAGATCCCCCCTAATTTGTTACTATTTTTTGGCCATCATAACATTCATTACTAATTGCCTTGTCTTTTACATAAAGTATATTATCCCAATGCAAAGTATTACAAGAATTGGGGTTCTGCCGAGTTTTACTGGTTAGCAATCTGTCTAGTGGGGTCCAAACTCCAAATGAAAGCGAACATGTTGCAGCCACTCTGTTGCAATTAATCCTCGAAATTTACTTAGTTCTATTCAAAACCATGTAGGAGAATGGGCACTCAACTGTGTATACTTGGATTTTGAGCACGGGTTGGTGGGAAAGGCGAGCACCAATTAACCCAGATGCTGTTGTTGCGGTTACCTTTTTATGCACATTCTTGTATGGTGGCTTTTTTTACATCAACAGGTGAATGTTTATACAATCTTCCGTGTTAATTATCAAGTTACATATTGTGGTGTTGACATTTTCTTCCCCCTCGAAGACCTTGCAGAGTAAATTCATCAAACTCCATTGTGAAAAGGTCGCATCAATCACTGCTACTCATCCTGTTTATAGCCTGCTTATACTGTTTATGGTGTGCAATTCAGATATACTTGGTCAAACCTCGTCGTCCTGCAGTTGGTGAAGAGGCTGATCTTGGTGTTATAATTTTTTTAGTCACATTTTTCTTCCTACCTCATGGTTTGTGTATAATGTCCATGCATCCAAATGATCTTCACACAGATCAAATTCCTGTTTAACGGTATACTATTTTGCTCTTTCCGAGATTTTTCTCTGCATTTGCCACTGATATAATCTCAGCAAGCGTTTGAATCAAGCACTTCGCTGTGCAGATTCACTAGCCAAGGACATGCTGACCACTATGGTCTAGTCCTACTAACTGCTCCACCCTCCTTTTGTTTGGGTTTTGTGCAGGATGATCTGCAGATGAATTTTGATGTCATGGCTGCTAGAGCCTAACAAGCGTTTGAATCTTGGCTGGTGTCATGACATTCAAGTTGGAACTTGTACAATCCCTTATCAGTCGTTTAGCCCTTAAGGTAATTTCTGTGCTTCTGTGTAAACGTTCAATGCTCGTATGCTTCTTGTTTTTCTTTTGTTCCTTTTCCCCCTCTGGATGTCTCTTTTTTTTTTTTTTTTTTGGGGGGGGGGGTTCTGGATAGTTGCTTGAAATCTGAAATATTGGGGCATTGTTTTTATTTCTAGCTGTAGATTCATTCCAAGTAAACTTAAATTCAGTACCTGATTCTGATTCTGCTTTCACTTGCAGCTTCACTCCTCCAAGGCATTGCATCCCAGGAGTAATTGTTCATGACATGTTTACTGGTTCTCAATTTGTTTTATAGTGATGCAAGGTAAATTTTTACAACTAGGTTTGCTTTTATACACAAATATTGAAAGAAAGGCCTAGATCATAGGCAAAGCATCTTAATTAATATAACAAGAGAGCGTTTGATATGGTTTTACTTAATGATTGTTGTTATTAATAAAGGAAAAAAAAGTACAAAAATACATAACTCATTGAAATACTAAACTGACAAATACTAAAAAAAAAAAAAAACTAATATATGACAAATATTTCAAATGTGGATAATATTTGGAAGAAGTGAGCTAGGCTCAAATTGGGCTTAACAATGCCCCCTTAGGCTATAACTTTTATGCAATGGCAGCTAGGCCAGAAATCGCAACCCAAACATTATTACAAAGGGGTATTTCTTTTTTTGGGACACGTTTTTTTTTTTTTTTAATATTTCCTGACCTTTTCATCAGAAACGAATCATTAATATATCAATATAAAATTTAAAACATATTGCACTATTTATCTTAATTTCGTTCATATGGCACTAATTATCTAAAATATGGATGGAAAAACATTCTCAACAAATACATGGAAAAAAATTGATCCCATAAAATCTGCAAAATAATATGCTTTGGAGCTTCAGTTTTTTTTTTTTTTAAAGAACGACTTGGCTATTTAATTTTTTTTAAATGAAGTTTCTCAGTCTCTACAAATTGAATTGGACGTTGATTAATTCGAGCTAATCAAGCAAGTAGTTTAAGAAACAAATTTATACACATAAATTTTAAACGTGAATTTTTAAATTTAAAATCAAAATCCAAATTCATTCCTAATATATATTGATTTGGACAGACTCCCTTCAGGATTTGTGGGGAATGATAAGGAAACCACGTATTAATACTTTTATTTAAAATTTTCAAATGATCGTGTAATTCTCTTTGACAATAAAAAAACGTTTGCTACAGGAGTCTGGCATCACTTGATGTGATCTTATATATTTTCTTTTCGTTTTTTTATATCTGTTTTATTTTTCCTTGTTATCCAAAAAAATACATACCCATTCCTTGATTAAAAAATGTAATATATTTTTAATTAAATTTTATTTTTTAATAAAGTAATTATTTATATTTAAATTAACATATTTTTTCATATTTATTCTTATTTAATAAAATATTTTATTTTAAAATAAATATAAAGTGATTTATTCAATAGGAACATTTATAAAAAAAAGACAATAATTAAATCTTAAAATTAAAAATATTTTATATTTTTAAACATCTAACCTCTCAAAAAATATTTTTAAACGAGGGAAATATATGACTTTTTCAGGTTGAGTTTGATTTGGAAATAATTTTGTGCATTAAAGTATAAAACTTTAAGTTTTTAGGGAGAATTGCATTTAGGGTCTTGGAATGAAAATATTTGCAGAGTAGGTGCAATACATTTTGAATTTTTTTTTAATTTTTTGCAGGCTTAATAATTTCATTTGGAATTTGTTTCTTGTTGAAATGACTAAGTTACTCCATAATTTGTTGCTACTCGGCTATGCTTTTCTTCTTCTCTTCTCCTTTCTCACTCTTCCTTCGTTCTCACAGCCCATCAAAATTATCATGAAGATCATGAATTAGGAAGCTAAGAGATTACGTTCGGTGCCCCACAGCGAGAAAAAGAGCTTCTAAGTATGGAGCAACAAGAAGGTAGGGGAAGAGGATCAAAAGAAATGATTGTGCTTTCGCAGATGTGACCCTTTATTTTTTTCAAACCGATTTATTTCCTCTAATAATTTGATTAACCAAAATTCTCAACTTTCAAACACCTATCATGGTAGAATAATGTTTATTAGAGTATAAAGAATTAAAGATATTTTTTCAAAGCCCTACTATACCATGACAATAAAGAGTTTATTGTGGTAAGGAAAAAAAAAAACGAAACCTCATTTTAAAAACCTTATTATGGTGAAATTTTTTTTAAAGGTTTATTATGATAAAAAATGATTTTCTTTCATTAAATAAATTAATTTTAAAATTGACTACCATAATTGAAAAATATTTACTATAATAGAAAAAATTAAACTTAGCAAATAAGACTTACATTGGTAAATAATTTTTTTTAAATCATTAAAATATACTCAATGGGACTCTATTTCCAAAATAAGAGTTTGAGAATCAAATTGTTGTAATAAAAGATGGACAACATTAAGAGTTCTCAATAACATTTTAGTCCAAAACATTAATCTTTTTCCCACAAATTCCAGACATAGAGATTCTAGGGTCCACCCAAATATACAACCAAGGCTAAATATTGGGTTTGATTTAATACACATTGACCAAAGTCACGGTTTAGGGTTAACAACTTGACTACAATACAATTATCCAAAACATCATATATATAACTTTTATCATTAACCATGTATAGTTAAAGTCCACAGTTGAGTTATAACCACTTAATACAATTTATATACAACACACTTAACAAAATATCATCTCAACACCAAACATGATTTTAATACTTAAATTAAAATTAGTCCATAAGCATCAGACACAAATCTTATGATTACAATTAAATAAGTTTATTGAAAGTTAAGAGTTAACATGTTTTAATTTAACAAAATGAGCCTTGAGTTGGCAAATATATATCAACTACCAGAATATGGCATAAACAAAAAAAAAGGTGGTGTCTCATGCACCAATTTAAACCTCAAGTGCTTCTCCGCTAGACTTGCTTCTATAAAAATATAATAACCATGAGAAATGAGATAAAAAGATCCTATTAACCAATTTTAATGTGCCATAATGCATGTCATGCAACTAATTATATGATTGTTAAGTAGGAAAATACAACACAATTTTCAAACAATTTATTCCAAACAATTTTTAAATAAATATGAACAAGCCAAATAAGGATACAAGACTACCACCTTATCTCTTCCTTTCTCCAATATTGAAATCCATGCTTGATGTCTAGCTCACTTGCCTAAAGGTAAACTAATTCAAGCAACAAAATATCACTCATAGATCAAATGAGAGCATATTACATGATATAGTTCATTTCCAAACAATAACCTCCCGAATAACCTCCCACAATTGAACAAGTCATGCACATAATAATCTGCAAAAAAATTATAAATTCCAAACAATAATACATATTTCCAAACATACTAATTTCATATTGAAAATAAATTTATATCAAATTTTCATCTTACTAACAATAAATTTTTCAAGCATCGATATTCATTTCCAAACATTTAATTTTCCAAACACAATTATTTGCAACAAAACACACATAATTAATTACAAGACACACATACCATACCATAACAGTAAAGTTACATTTTCTCTTAGTAAGCAAATTTCTTTGAACAAGTGACACAATCTACACAACATACAAAACCAAACATAATCAATACTTGTTATTAAACACTAATCACATTCTAATCCTAAATTTAAATTAATTAATTTCATTAACCCAACACCCTTCCACACACTCAAATCTAAAAAACTTGACTATTTTCATTGTTAATTCACTTCTAATGCACCCATTCAATCTCTAATTATCATAATTAACCTCTTGAAAACCTTAATTCCACATCTATTAATTATCCAAAAATCAGGAGCTTAAGCTCAGGCCTCAAATCATCATCGCAACACCTTACAAATATATATTTTTCTAAATCCAATTTTTTCTCTAAACTTCAATTTTTTTAAAAAATTTCAATTTACTACTACAAACAAATTTCTCCATCTCAAATATATTCCTATAATTCAAATATATTCTCCATCTCATCCGCAGAAAGTTCCCTTGAATCACTATGCTCAAATCGCAGCTCTCCAGCTATATCTTTGAATTTTCATTTTCCTAGACATGCCATTTGCATGTCAAGACAAAATTCTATCATATTTTTTTAGATAAAAACTCAATTGTATAATAAATTGTAAAATTCTTCTACTTTGAACATGTTGAAGGTTATTGTAAATCTTATGCACGTGTTGATCTAACATATATACACATTCTTATGTAGATGTTATTTAGAGAGTTTATATTATTATTTATGGAGTTTATATTATACAAATTTTAACTTGTGCAGATATTCAGGCATCTCATATAGACAGATTTTATATTATTAATATATGAACCTTGTTATATTATTTACAAATATACTGTTATAAATTTCACTAAGGTGAATATTTGGCAAAAAGACGTGTGAATATATTACTTAAACTGAATATATATACAATAAAATATAAAACCCAATGTCAGTCTTTCCAAGGAAGCTAAAATTGTTTATTTTTTTTGTGTAAGTCTATTACCCATGGATATATCCTGCAGTTTATACAATAAATCTACCTATTATTTTATATTTTTTAATTATATTTTACAAAACCATCTCTGATCTCACGTCTTATCCCTTGCCTTATTTCTCTCTAGCATTAGCATATGCCTCTCGACTTCTCCAACAAATTCTACTCCAACAGATATACATGTTGGTATATGGATGTTATTTATTTATGTTGTTATTTACTGAGTTTATTTTGTAAAAATTTTAACTTGAGCACGTTTAGGTATATCATATAGGAGGATCTTGTATCATTAATATATTAACCTTATCATGTTATTTATAGATGTACTGTTATAAATTTCATTAGAGTAACTTGTACATTTTAGATCTATTAAACCACATGAAAAATGTATAAAGTACGAAGCTTATATTATTAATATATGGATCTTTTGATATTATTTATGGATGTTCTATTGTAAATTTTATCTTGATAACTTTTATATTATTGAGCTACTAAATCACACCAACAATGTATATAGGTTGACCTTGTGTTGTTTGTATATAAGTCTTTTGATGTTATTTATGAATGTTCTGTTATAAATTTTATTAGGATAACTTGTACATTTTAATTTTATTAAATTACACGGATAATGTATAAAGCATGGGCCTTGTGTTGTTAGTAAATAAACCTTTTAATATTATTTACGGATGTTTTATTATAAATTTTACCTAGGTGTGACTTGTACATAGTTACTAAACCACACAAGATAATGTATATTTTATTTTATATATTCGATTTAAATAATATATTCACACACTTTTTAACAAAAATTCACTTGGTAAAATTTACAGCAGTACATCCATAAATAATATGATAAAGTTCATAGATTAACAA